CCTAAGTGCCTTTTTCATCCCTGGTGAGTATCTCTTTCCAGGTGTAAGAAGTGCCTCATTTTCACCTATGATAATTACCTTTTGTACTGTACTTTGACACGTGCTCCTAATTTTCTCTTCTAATAAGTGTTTAAATTTATCCCTTTCGATAAGTGTCCCCTTTTCCTCTCATCATTAAACGTGCCCCTAATTTAAAGCGACTAAGAGCAATTTCCCCCAAAGCTCGCTCGCATTTATAAACGATATAATTATGTTACTTATCACAGGTCATTTCAGTATTCCGTTATGAGAATGTGCTTATAACCCCATCTGGAGTTTTTTTCCCTTCCTCTTTATAAGATGTAAATTTTTTTCACTGCGACCTCACAAATCTTAAAAATGTTGTCGTCATATAGTTTTCTCGCTGGTATAGCGCTCTATCGTACGGGATTCAGTTGGTATAGGAATTGTTGTCCTATGGGCAGAGCTTCAAGTTTTGCTGTTCTTAGCCCGACTTGTAGTCGTCTTGTGGGTATTGTTGTTCTATACTGCAAAGATGGTTTTGTTTGAGTTAGTTTGTAGGTGTCATGCATGTGTTTCTCTGCATAGTATTTAGGGAAGGATGTATATTTCATCAGCTTGTTAAAATTGTACTTTTATTATACATTGTAGTACACACGGAAAGGGAGAGGGCAGCCCTACTAGCACTACTTACACTGACTTTGTATTCAGTAAAAAAAAATCAAAAAAAACAGGAAGACAAAAAAACGAAGCTCTATTTGCTTGTTGACGATCATGATGAAAAAGAACACTAGCACATTTTGAAAGCAGTACATAGCCCAATCCCCCAATCTAATAAAGAGCTGGAGTCATATCTACCTCATTCCATCATCTTCGATGCCGCCATGAGAAAATATGTCAGGCATGTGCTTAAAGCGTTGGTCACATCCCACCGTGCGTGTTTTTAGTCCGTACGGTTTTGGGGGAGGCCACGGCCGCCACGTTTTTCTGAAAACGTAGGGAGAGAGTGGCAAAGGCAGGGAGGGAGTACCGGCAACGCGCGTCACACGCACTGTGTAAGTACGTGTCCCGCACGCCACGCCTGGCCGTGAACGGTTGCGTGCATCGTACGTCGCGCACGTGGTAAGTGCGTTGTACGTGCTTACAACGTGCTTACAACGTACGGTCTCCGTGCGGTTGCCAAGTTATCGTACGGAGGCCGTACTTACAAGTGCTGCTCACGTACGGTGTCCTTACTCACTCGCATGTTGTAAGTGCGTGCACGTACGATGAACTCGTATTTATATAGGACGACATTCCGACGTTCTCCAGAAGTCCCAGCTGTTGCTGCCTCAAGATGCCGCCGAAGAGACTATCTACTGCATAAATCAGTGCGAACAACGTGCGTTGTAAGTGCAGATACGTAGACAAAAGATTCCCGCCGAGCTGCAAATTAACGGGCCACAAAGTCATTTCAAAGGGAAATATGCTTTTGTAAGGATAATTACTTTTCGCTACCACTCGTCTGATAATACGAGCAGTATACACAGTGCTTACTTACACAGCTCACAGGAGGAAAGCGAAAGAAAATGAAGCAAAAATTCCTGAAATATTAATCAAAATTACTCGACTGGGCATTTGTGGGCACTAATATCATAATAAAGAACTACATGAACAAAATCACTTTTTATTTTCGTGAGCCTGAAGTAATCGGAAAAGACAAGTGTCAAATTGCAGATTTTAGGATTTAATATTTAAACTATTTTTCACAAATCAAAACTGCTACTATACAATATAAACACATTTCTTGACACAATAAGGCTTTTGTATTCATATTTTATCACGTTCGATTTCCCCCTTGTTAGTTCAAATAAAAAGTGAAATATTACCAATATTTCTTTGTGAAAAAAAAATCACTATTCAAGCTTTCGAAAGCCAGCTCCATTATCTATCAGATTGCCAATCCTAATTGTGTATAATTAACATGATTTATCAATATATACTTTCATGTTTGGTCTAGTCAATGACAATTTGCATCATAATTCAAAAGAGTACTGTGACAGTATTAAGCATAGCTATTCCAAAAAACAAAAGGAAGGTGGACAATTACGTCATTCATTCATTGTCTTTTGCGGGCAGTGAATTTTGAAATAGATTATCTATTAATGTCAGATTAACAAGGTCTAGAAATTGGTTCCGGAATTCTATTACTAGTCATTTGTTGTATTTCATTCCATTTCTTTTCATTTTATTTCATTCGTCATATAAAAACATACATGATTATAACATTGATATTTACAGATGAATAAAAAACATACGAATAACATAACGAAAGATAAACATAATATACAAATATTATATACGAATGAGGAACCAGCAAGAAAGAACAATTAAGTCTTGTGTTGTGCTGGTCCCTTGCGACATAATAAAGAATTTTAACCCATAACACTTAACACCTTACACCTAACAACTAACACCTAACATCTAACACCTGATTGCATATATATATAAAAACTAATAAAATACTATTCACAAAAACGTAATTGTTTGTATTTCTTTTTAATTGTATTCAGAGTTGGGCTTGCTTTAACATTAGGAGGTAACTCATTCCATAAAATTGGACCTTTAAAGAAAATTGAATTTTTGGAGACAGAAGTTTTGATAAGTTTTATATGAAAATGAGATGATTGTCTAGTTATATATGAATGTATTTCAGAATTCAAAATAAATTTGTTTGATAGACTAGGAGGAATAATACATTTATGACACACAAACATAAATATAAGAATATTATACTCATTCAATTCAAATACATTAAAATATTTAAAACGGACAAATCATGAATTAAATACCAAGTTAAATATATAGTCTGCATATGTATAAAAGTAATATTTTACATCATCAGTTTGTATATTATAAGACATTGTAGAGTATTCGTATTTTTTAAAGTATTGAGTGTAATAGTAAATTAACCCCATTATTTTTGTTTTGTTACGTTTTCTAAATTGATTTGTGCCAAAATATTCTGTTTAGCCGTTAATGGGTTAGGCTCGACTAGCAAATGTGCTATTATCTGGCCCTTTTTACCAATCAATAGTTTTATTCATGTATATGTAAACACATTGTATGAAATGTATTACTGTATTGCTGTTGGTAAATGCCCCCCCCCCCTCTCCGGGAACGGAGGGACCGCATTCATATTCCCAAAATGTCCGGTAAAGGGGTAATTTTCACGCAACAAAGTCCGGCTCTTAAAACACACAAAATCGGTCCGTATTGACTTTAAACACCTGACTTAGGGGGGTGTTTTCAAAAGGAGGGAACATGCATACGCGTACTCTAAATAACACTGAGTGGGGGGGGGGGGCGGGGGTAAATGAAATCAATTTAAAATCAGAAAAGATCAGCCGTCCCACAATCCAAAAGGGATTACATTCTAGGAGGGTTAAATGTTACATCTTTCTGTTTTAACTGGTTTAAAAGTTGCATGGGTAAACTGGTTAATTGAGGTGGAAAATAAAGGTAAATTTTACACGAAATATCCTGGTGGAAAATTGCCTTGATCTTGCAATTCAAAGTTTAATGACCCCCCAACATAGTTTTATGATGTAAATTGTACTTGCATGCTCAGAGGAAGTTAGCTTTCTCACGCAAAACGAATGATGTAAACATTCAGGATATAAACTTCCAAGAGCATCGTTCTGGACTAACCCTCTGATCAAGTAAAATGGAACGGTTGTATGGGATAGATACTGGATTCTCTCATGCCAAGCATTTGTTAGATGAACAATATAATTTTTATTCACATAATCATGACATCTATGCAGAAATTAAAAAAAATCAATGTAATTTTCTTGAGTCACTAATATATTCCGTTCCAAACGAAATGGAATAATTGCATTCGTCAACACCAACCCAAAGCTAAAGAAAGACACCTCGAAATGAATTGTTGTATAACTTAAATAATTTTTATTTTTAAGGATGGAAATATGTTCATCAAATGCCTGTTCAAAATATTCTTAAAGTTCCGACTTGGAAAATAAAATGGGCATCAAATTTAACTTAACATTTTCAAGGCTGGACAAAATTATATCATTTCTTTGAAATGCTGCCTTTCGTTATTTTAGTTTCAAGATTTTTCACTGAATACTTTGGGCATGGCTAATTCTGATTTATGTTATTTAAAAAAAATATATAACTATGCAAACACAATTCCCATAAGCATTTGCATATGCTAAATATTTGTATTGCTATAATGTGTGTCAGCAAATAAATGTTAACTCTGTTTAATACTAGACTGCTTCAATTTGGCATGTTTAAAAACTTCTTTTTGATATCGCTTTTTGAGCAAAATAAATGATGGCATCATGTATATGGTTGCTTACTAACAAGCATTTATGCTTTCTTAGAAGTCAGGTAAAATAATCACCACTAAAACTAAAACAATCTATCTTTTCAAACCATAAAAAGCTGTTTCGTATGACCTCCGCGTCATAGAAAAAGGGAATGTGCAGAATACCTGCTGAAAATATAGCAAAATATATGTACAAAGCTAAATGATGTCACCAAATAAATAAATACTATACACAATAGGCTTCAACAAACCCGACCGGCATGAGGTTCTTGGGACATCCCATACGAAAGTCTTTTTGACAACCGGCTGATCGTTCATCAGACAAACATTGGCTTCGTGTTCAGTCGGTCTCATTGGACGTTCCGCTTTATTAATAATAATACAAAAGATAGATTTATTGAGCGCATAATAAACATAAGTTTTTCTATGCGCTTTACAAAGTAAAAAATAATCATGTACAAGTATAATTAAATAGTTACAAAAACGAAATATAAAAACCTTAAACTAAAGACATGTAAATAAGAGTATTAATTCATCACGAGCAAAGTTAATATAGATAGCAAATATTTATGAAAAATCAATTTGAGTAACATATTCAATTATGATACATTAATTAATTAATTTATTTATTTATTAAAATTTCTAGGCGTACAAAACGCGTTCATTATGGTAATAATATGAAGAAAATAATGTGCGTAAAGAACAATATTTGCCTCGGATAAAAATAATCTTGTAAACCTTTAAAGAATACACAGGTTGTAAGACAGTGTGTCAAGTATACTCCTGCTTTCCTTTGCTAGAAAATGTATGGTGCATTATTTGAAACACACTAATGTTTGTGTTATTATAGTGAAGGTAGCGCTAGGCGGTCTATATAAAGTGCTTTTCAGTCGATCTTTACAGCTCGGCCATCCTCCCGAATGTATTTGATCTCACGGCGGAGTTATCAAGCATAAGCCTGAGCATCTGTGGTGTACGTAGTTTTCTTGGAACTTTGTACTGGTTGGCTGTAGTGGTCGTGTTCGTTAGGATGAAGTCATGTAACAGGCTAAATGTACCGGGTTTCACAATGTGAACGCTGGGGGTTGCTATGCAACCTTTCTCACGATACGATTTGTAGGTGAAAGACAACCGCTGCAGTTCACTGTCAATCTACAAGAGGAGAGCAAAAGTGAAACAAATACATGGTTCAATTATACGAGAAAAAAACAAACACTACGAGTAGAATAATATCGTGTGTAATTATTGATGGATTTAAGAAATAACACAGAAGCGCTTGCTCCCTCCCCCCTCGCATATTACGACATGGGTCAATGGGTGATGGGTCACAATGGGTCACTTTAACATCCCTAAACATGGGTCCCACTTTTTATCAAAAATACCGATGGGTCCGTTTTTTCAATGTTTTTCGAGTGTTTGCCATGCAAACACCCGGAAATTTTAAAAATTTGGGTCTTTTTTCGAGAAAAATGACCCCTTATAATGGGTAAGAGTTTCATGGCTTGAGCGGCACACCCCCGTCCAAACCAAATCTGAGTACCCCCCCCCCCCCTTTTCGGGGCGGGGGGGGGGGGGGGGCTCTTCTTCCAGTAAAACCCAACGTCGCATAACCAAAAGACAAGAGAATGCGCCCAAACGCAGCTTCATTTTTTAGTCCTCGCGTAGGGTTAAACCGAATTTTGGTTGAAAATCGGTCAAATTGCTCACACTGCTTAGCTTAAATATATATCTGATAGTGATTAACACTCTTACATTCCTTTTCAAAATATTTATTTAAAAAAAATCAAAAATGAATCTTTGTCAGAAGTCAATGCATCTTCATGGTACAAAAACGATAATGATAAAGTAGTGATCGTGATAGGTCTATCTGAGAACTCGATGACATATATTTTCTTAATTTTTCTTAAAAGCTAAATTCTGGATATTCATGTCACCGTCTATATTGTATAATTATTGTTTAGGTCAATTTGTTTTCTTCTTTGAGGGTGGGGGGGGGGGCGGTACCTTTGATTTTGAATAAGCTTACCAGGCAGTACTGGTCCTGATCTATGTCACCTGAGTCTGGATCTTGGTCCAACTCGATGAACACGATGTAATACGGACACACAGTCTTATCACGGTTATCTAAGATGGAAAGAGAGAGAGAGAGATAACAAAAACAATGGAAACTATTGCAAAAGAGAATAAATTTACGAGCAACCTTAACAAAGAAACTCACTGGGGTGGGGAATTTAAATCGGGGAGGAGACCGACAATGTCCATCGAGTGATAAAAAGTGCCTCTCCTGTGATAGCAAAGGTGCCCATTCTGAGTTGTAAACTGGTTATATTATGATATTTATTTTGCCTAGTGTGCCTTTCATACGATTTTCCTATTTTCATTTTAATGGAACCTGCCCTTTAATTACATTTTATAGATATACCACCTTACCGTACTTTAAAAAAAGATTCTGACAATTCAAAATTTTCCGTTTGTTTCTGTTGCATGAATTTCATTTCCAATGTGTATTTTTTATATACCCCACCATCGACAATAATTGTAATATCCTTTTATTAATGATAAGGTCGTTAGCGTTCGTAGCTCGCTGTTAAAAGAATCTTCCCAGAGGATCAACGTTTACTTTTCATAGCTTTACACAAATCTGGCACACCACCAACTGGGATAGAATGTCCTTTTCAAAGTGATTGGGCTCCAGTCGGTAATATTCGGATGGAAGGCATCAAAGTATCACAAAGCATGATATGTACTTTTACTTTATGGAACAAAGTAATTTTGGTAAAAGAGAACAGAGCTTGATAACAAAAGCCATTTGTGCATTACAAAAAACAAAAAACAAAAAATCTGGGACGCAGAGTATATATTATATAGCAGGGGGAGGGGGGGGGAGGGGCTTAGATAAACGTACCACTCTAGTTCTTTATTGTCCTTCAAAAAAGGGAGGGGTGACGCCGGTGCGACCCTATGCAGTTTGTTATCGTAGAGGGGATGGGGGGGGGGGGGGGGGGGGGTAGGCTAATAACAGAATAATGTGGTCATAGAAGACATTACAAAATAATATTAGCTGAGAAAGCATTAGAATATAGTACATTTTGTGCCTCCTCCTCACCTAACTCAGCTAAGAGTGTGCTTTCTGCTACGGCATAATCCCGTATCTGAACATCAGGCCACTGGTCCACAGCAGCACACATGGCTTCCTGCACTGTCCGCTGATCAACTTTCTCTGATACAACATTTAACATCTGACCAGACCTAGGAATATTGAACCCAAGAAACATTTTTTTGTTAACTGCCGAGAAAACCGAACCCTGCATAAGACCGGGATGTCGCGAACTCTTTTTAAATCTCATGACGATATTATGACGACTTCCTCTCGAATAAAATGTTCTAGAAACTTCTAGTTACCCATTTCCACAATGAACTAGATATGATATTCGATCATATAAACCAATCTATGTATTAATATTCTCTACTTTTATGTAGTAAGGTAAAATATATGGAAATAAATAAAAGGGTGTTGTTTGATGTCATACCTATACATGAACTCAGCCACGGGGGTATTCATGTGGAAACGAGTTATCTTGATGACGTCACCATAGCGAAACCGATAACAGCCGAAGAGTTGAGTGATGACGATCTCATACACGCCATCGATTGTCAGTTCATCAAGGAACAGCGTCTCGGGAGTTTCGTCTTCCCTTAAATAATTAAAATAACAAAAGGAGGCAAAGTCTTTTCTTATATCCAAGGAAGTCTTCACTTGATTCCCGTCCCCTGGGAACCAACGCTTCCACACATTATAGCATTTATAACTGCGTATTCGTTATGGGTACGTACGTAAAGGGAGATACTGTCTGCTAGGGTGGTTTTGTTGTTGATGTTGTTGCTGATGGTGGTGGTGATGGTGATGGTGATGGTGGTGAAATGTGTGAGGGGGGTATCTAGATATCGTAAGGGTTACCTCGAATTTTGTAAATTCAGCAATTTCCTATGTAGGAGTAATTGACTGGTTAGTTATTGTATGCTTTCATTTAGGGAGGCCGACCGTATGCAGAAGGCGGGGGTGGTGGGTGGAGGGGGCAGGGAGGGGGTGGGGGAGCTGTTAAAGATTGAGTTTGTTTGGCGATAAGACCAACGATAAACTATAGCAAAAGTTCGTTATCCTTTTCGAAGCTTTGGGCTTTGCTTTAGTTACTGAGATCTTCCATTCTGGAGCTTATATGATTTCTCATTATAACCCTAATCTCCAAATGAACTGAATTGATATTTCCTTCGTCTGACAAAATGATTAATGTCGTGAATCCAACGTGAAGTTTATTATGCTGAGTTCGGGCTTTCGCTCCGTTGACCATACCCTTGGTTGTCGTTGCAACAAATCTGCCTCGCAAAGAAGTAAGGGGAAATGGAAATGGTCTGGATCGTCGATATCTCATCGTGAGTTAAACCTTGTGATCATGAAAGGTAGCCAAAGGTACGTCAACGATGGCGTACAACTCACGGGCTTTAAATGTTATGGACTGTGTATGATTGTATCCATACATCGGGCCCTTACCTTCTTATCAGTAAGTTTCATAAAGCCGGCTAAATATAATAGTGTCATTCGTATACGTTATCAGATAATTGACAAAATCAGTTATCATTCATTGTCTGTGTGACGGGGAAATTGTTCATTTCAGAACTATTTGAAAAGGTTTGATCAAAGTTCCCAAACCAGACAAAATGTTCATAATTCTATTAATTTTCTATTAATATATCGATCACTGCATTTTCCTTGCCTTGTCATAAAGCTTTTGTTCCGCTCTGCACGCTGGTACAAAACAGGATTAATAAAAATAATAGTAATACAAAGGCATGATAAGACCCGATAGTTTCATCTTTCAAAGTACTAATTATGTATACATGGTATTAAGACAAACTAAATTTTGCTTGATGTAATCCATGGCATAGGGAAACAGAGAGAGCGAGGGGGTGGAGGGGGATACAGCGAGAGTTGATTGTGAGAGGGCGGTATATATAGTTATCTAACATGACTTACACATGCTCCTCTGGAATGAACTCGAGGGAGAGAGAGAGGGGGGGGGGGGGGGGGGAGCGGCGGGGGTAGGAAGGGGATACAGAGAGAGTTGATTAAGAGAGGGCGGTATATATAGTTATCTAACATGACTTACACATGCTCCTCTGGAATGAACTTGAGAGAGAGAGAGGGGAGAGAGAGAGGGGGGGGGGGGGGAGCGGCGGGGGTAGGAAGGGGATACAGAGAGAGTTGATTAAGAGAGGGCGGTATATATAGTTATCTAACATGACTTACACATGCTCCTCTGGAATGAACTTGAGAGAGAGAGAGGGGAGAGAGAGAGGGGGGGGGGGGGGGGAGCGGCGGGGGTAGGAAGGGGATACAGAGAGAGTTGATTAAGAGAGGGCGGTATATATAGTTATCTAACAAGACTTACACATGCTCCTCTGGAATGAACTCGAGGGAGAGAGAGAGGGGGGGGGGGGGAGCGGCGGGGGTAGGAAGGGGATACAGAGAGAGTTGATTAAGAGAGGGCGGTATATATAGTTATCTAACAAGACTTACACATGCTCCTCTGGAATGAACTCGAGAGAGAGAGAGGGAGAGAGAGAGAGAGAGAGGGGGGGGGGGGAGCGGCGGGGGTGAGAGGGGGATACAGAGACAGTTGATTGAGAGAGAGCGATATAGTCATCTAAACAGGACTTACATATTCTCCTCTGGAATGAACTCGAGAGAGAGAGAGAGAGAGAGAGAGAGAGGGGGGGGGGGGGGGGAGGTTGGAGGGGGATACAGCGAGAGGTGATTAAGAGAGGGCTGTATATATAGTTATCTAACCAGACGCTCCTCTGGAATGAACTTGAGAGAGAGAGGGAGAGAGAGGGGGGGGGAGCGGCGGGGGTAGGAAGGGAATACAGAGAGAGTTGATTGAGAGAGAGCGATATAGTCATCTAAACAGGACTTACATATTCTCCTCTGGAATGAACTCAAAGACTGTATACCCCGGTAAAAGGACGAACTCGTCTTTGCCTGATGTGATCCATAGGTTGATACCCATCATTCCTTCTGTCGCCCCTAAACCAGGTGCGTACATCGGGACACCTGCAAGAAATCAGAACACTTTCTCAGTCACAGAGGCTTCACTAGAGGGTAACGATAACAAGACTTGTTTGAAGTATGCCGGCGACTTGGTACCTGACCTGTCTTGTTTGAAGTATGCCCGGCGACTCGGTACCTGACCAGTCTTGTTTAAAGTATGCCCAGCGACTTGGTACCTTACATGTCTTGTTTAAAGTATGCCCAGCGACTTGGTACCGGACCTGTCTTGTTTGAAGTATGCCAAGCGACTCGGTACCTGGCCTGTCTTGTTTAAAGTATGCCCAGCGACTCGGTACCTGACCTGTCTTGTTTGAAGTATGCCCAGCGACTTTGTACCTGACCAGTCTTGTTTAAAGTATGCCCAGCGACTTGGTACCGGACCTGTCTTGTTTAAAGTATGCCCATCGACTCGGTACCTGACCTGTCTTGTTTAAAGTATGCTCGGCGACTTGCTACCGGACCTGGAATACACATGCCATTTAAAAACATTGACCGTAGTCAAATACTAATAAGCCTCTTAGCTTTATATAAATAATTATTTAAGTAATTCGTTTAGCAATGATTACCATATGGCCGATCTAACTACAAAAACTTCTCTCCATAGAATTATGTTTTATAATTTAAGACTTTAAATTTCTTTTCTTAAATCATTTAATCCACGATGGTCTTCGTACGCTGATTATTATGTTTTAATCGTGCTGTTTGTATGACCATTTGCAATATTGTGTTTTATATGTATTTTAATTTGTGCATATTCTATTAACGATTCCGCCATTGGCTGCCAATCACGATTTGTATTCCACTATTAATAAACAAATCAAATTACCTTGGTTTCACGATAAAAGCTTCAATAGTGCTATCAACTTGATACTATGATCAGATGTACTCAAACATAGATGTGGTCTGTGACGTACGTCACAAAATAATTCGACTAGCCCGAGACCACTCTGAATGAGGTGGGGTGTGCGCACGATTTTGTTTTCTTTAAGAAATCTCTTAGTACACTATCATGCGTACTTCATAATCAACTTTTCCCTAATAATAAAGACAGCTTCTCTCACTAATTCATATTTAGAATATTTGTTATTCGACCATTTACCGTAGTGCTTATTAAAGATTAGACATGGCATACCTTTGGCATATGTATCGAGTAGTACGCCTTTAAGTCCTGCGCTATCTACGGCATTGATGTAATGTATATGTGGCCATACCCGTCGAATGATACCATCGAAACCCTTCTCGAACTCTGTTTTGAGCTCAGCGGCCCTCTCCGGGTCTCCACTCCCCAACGATTTTGAAAACTTTTTCTGGACGTCGGACTCTAGGTTGAGATACGAGATGGTGCCGTGTTCGATGTCTCTGACGATATCCTGCCAGCAGTGCTCAAGCTGTCGCATGGCAGACATCAAATTGGAGGTAAAGTTGGCCATGATCCCCCCAAGGTTGCGGTCTCGGAGACCAAACAGAAGATGGATATATGTGGCCTCGAAGGGACGACTTATGAAGAAACCTTCTCCAGGAGTCGAAAATATGAGTAAGAATTTCTTCATCCATGGAGCAATCAGAGATCCAGGTCCCATTAAGATACCTCCTTCGGTGAATCTTGTGAGTGAAATGAAAGAGGGGAAAGGATGTGATCATGTTGATAGAACCCAAGTTCCATTAAGATACCTCATTCGGTGAATCTTGTGAGTGAAATAAAAGGGGGAAAGGGTGTGATCATGTTAATAGAACCCAAGTCCCATTAAGATACCTCATTAGGTGAATCTTGTGAGTGAAATAAAAGTGGGAAAGGGTGTGATCATGCTAACAGAACCCAAGTCCCATTAAGATACCTCATTAGGTGAATCTTGTGAGTGAAATTAAAGGGGGAAAGGGTGTGATCATGTTAATAGAACCCAAGTTCCATTAAGATACCTCCTTCGGTGAATCTTGTGAGTGAAATAAAAGGGGGAAAGGGTGTGATCATGTTAATAGAACCCAAGTTCCATTACGATACCTCATTCGGTGAATCTTGTGAGTGAAATAAAAGGGGGGAAGGGTGTGATCATGTTGATAGAACCCAAGTCCCATTAAGATACCTCATTAGGTGAATCTTGTGAGTGAAATAAAAGTGGGAAAGGGTGTGATCATGTTAATAGAACCCAAGTCCCATTAAGATACCTCATTAGGTGAATCTTGTGAGTGAAATTAAAGGGGGAAAGGGTGTGATCATGTTAATAGAACCCAAGTTCCATTAAGATACCTCCTTCGGTGAATCTTGTGAGTGAAATAAAAGGGGGGGGGGGGGGGAGGGTGTGATCATGTTGATAGAACCCAAGTCCCATTAAGATACCTCCTTCGGTGAATCTTGTGAGTGAAATAAAAGGGGGAAAGGGTGTGATCATGTTAATAGAACCCAAGTCCCATTAAGATACCTCCTTCGGTGAATCTTGTGAGTGAAATAAAAGGGGGAAAGGGTGTGATCAATGTCGGAAAGTTGCAAAGTTTGCCATCGAATTCAAATCTTTGTTTACAGTTACTATAAAGACATGCACATCTTTCAAAACACATTGTAGTATTGGCAGTGTAGAATAATGCATAATGCGTTAGTATATCAAAATGTTCAATTTTCTTGAGTAATGGAAGCGATTGCTTTCTTACCTTGTTTTTGGGGCAGTGTAAAGCCAAATATCTTGTTGCAACAGACTCCTCTCGTTGAAGGTCTTAAACGTGATAGCACTGACCAAACCGTACATGATCTTGTATGAATCTGATATATATGATTTGAGATAGGGCCACATTTTAGCCTTGCCCGTAGTACCGGAGGTGAGAGCAAAGCGCATTGGTGCCTCAGAAGTTAACACACCTTTCTCTCCAATTGCCATTCTGTCGATGTATGAGCGATAATGGTCGTATGTAGTCAGAGGATGTGTCTTCCTTAGATCATTTAGAAAATGAACGTCCTATGGATATAGAAGGTAAACAACACTCTTTTTGTTTTTAACATTTATTTTGAAGGGAATGATAATTAGATTATAATAATCATTACATTATTTAAAAAATTGATCTTTAATCAACAAAATGGGGGACTTTGACTGGTTTATTATTTTGAAATAACATAGAAGAATAGCCAAGTCCTCTCCCTAACTCCATACAACCTGTATGAAATCTTTAAGAATCATGCCCCACCCAAACTCAATGATCAAAATCCACGGTCTCTGAATAATGATGCAAAGTGTTGATAATAAATAATTAGTGTTCTTACTTTCAGCTTGTGTTGTCGCCCGTAAACTGTGTCACCGTTTTTTTGGATGATGTCCTGCAGGAGTTTCTCCTGTGCTTCACGTGGATTTCTCCACGCTGAATGATAATCACGCATGCGTAGTTCATTTCTGAGTAAGGTGCAGTTGATAAGTACGTAGTGGAGTATAGCTGTGATGACCGTATGTCCATCAGCTATTCGTAGTGTCGAAATGCGGACCGTCACCAATGAAAGCAGTAGACATATTATCCCTAGAGTACCTAGATAAAGTTAATTAGATTTTCCCTCCATTTAATATGCTTAAATGTGATTTAATGTTATAATAGTTATAGTAACTCTCGATAGAAGTCATGCATTTCTTTTCCATTGCATGTTGCATGTTATTCCATGTATAATAATGGGCATATTTAGGTAATAGAGGTATAGAGGTAAAACAAAAAGCATATCAGAAGAAATGTACTCAATATACGATCTCAATATAGATCTGTTTGTGCCGTAACAGTAGGTTTCATAATAATTCCATTGTTACCACTCATTAAAGGCCATGGACAGCATATACCTCTTTGTCGAAAAGAGATCAAGTTATTGCTTTCTACTGGGAAGCTCAACATTCATTCAGTGTTATCTATCTCTTTGTTGTTCTCTGAAAATGTTTTCATTAGGGAGTTCCGCTATTTGAAAAGCTGTCACCCCTACTAGTATTATGCCCTACCCCTCCCTCTCGTACACCGAACAATCGCACCTAAATGTGATTTCTTCCGTTGCTATGAAGGTAATTTTAGCCAAAATTAGCCAATAAGATTATACCAATTCAGCTCCACTTAAAAAAAAAAAACATGGTGTAATAATAACAATACATGGGCCGGCCGGTTATGCGTATTAACCAACACGAACAAGCCAACAAAAAAAAAAATTGCGAAATTTTCTGCGTAATTTTCAAATGTTAACCCCCCCCCCCTTGCAAAAATCCTGCGTACGTGCCTGACTGCTTACATATGGAAATGCATCAGGATTTATACTATCTGGTTGATGGTTAAGGAGCCAGCATAGCAGATGAATACAGCACCCAATCACTGTAATATTGCATGATCTGTAACGTTGATATTCCCGTTTCTTAGCACTTTTGTGGTAATAATGTTAAGAAAATCATACGCCATAATTACTGAATGGCATAAAAAGTGTTGTTTTTGACATGTGAACAAATTTACCTGTATCACGGTGAATTGTGTATATACATTTACATGTTTATAAGGCTGAATTCCATTCACGTGTAACTCGATCACTTGAATGTACATCTATATTGCAAAGACACGAATTTCCAGAATATAGTTCATATTTCTCGTTGACTTGTCCTGACAGAATGTCTGTTAGAATAACCCGGTATCCGATCTGAAATGTTTGGCACACTGCTGCTTAAGGTGTCATTCCTACAGATGGTTATTTTGAAAAAGCAGTATCCGGGCCATATTATGAGATTTATGACCTCTCCCTATTTAAGCGATACCTGTTTTAATATTCTTACCTGAAATAGTACGTTTCCACATTGCTCCGAAAGCATTGAGAGAATGAAAGCAATAATTAAGCCCGTTTACACCAATTATAAAAGACACACACGATAGCAACAGCAAACACGGTTGGATAGAGCGGTGAGCCATGTTTCTCCTACAACGTTAAACTTTGTACTGACCCTTTATCTGCTTGCTTGCTTTTAAATTTTGGCATGGAATCTGAAGCATTCTCTTTAACATCGTGATTTATGTTCCCTTGTGAATGAATGGTGACTAATTTCTAACCAAAAGGAAAGAAAATACACTACATGAATCAGTGGTTAGCGGAAAACAGCAGCTTATTGTCGGGTTGTGTTTGTTGACTAATCTCTTTATCTTAAACACGCAGCGATTAGTATTTAATATGGCATGTGAAATATACACACGTTTTCATAAGAATGTAAGGAGTGTAGTGTATCAAAGAGATGGCAATGTCTTTGTTTTAGTAAACAGTAGAGAAATATCCCTGTAATACTGGGTCAGAGTAAAAGAGTAGGCCGGTAAAAGGAGTAGCTCGTATGATAGTAGTAATAACTGTATCATAGTCGTCATCGTCATCTTATATAGTAGCGTGGCAGCGGCATTCACGATAATGATGGTGGTGATAGTACTAGTACTAGTAGTAGTGGTGGTATTAGTAGTGGTATTAGTAGTGCTATTAGTCGTGGTTGTGTTTACAGTAGTAGTAGTAGTAGTCAGGCGCGCCGGAAGCAGTTTGGGATGGGGGGGGGGGGGGGGCAAACATTCCAGGGGCTCACCCTTTTCAAGGTAGAGTATTAACGATCAGGTAGAGTGTAGCAAGCGAAGCGATTGGAGCATAAATTGGCGTGGGGTCCAGGGGCTCAGGGGTTTTAGACATTCAATAGCGTACAGATAAGCATATTATATACCTTATTTGTGACACTGGCAGGTCAATAATTGGCGTGGGGTCCAGGGGGCTGAGCCCCATGAAGCTCAGGGGTTTTAGGCATTTAATTACGGTCAGATGAGCACATTTTGATACCTTATTTCTTTCTCTCTTTCTTTCATTTTCTCTTTAACATACTTTTTCAAAAAAAGTGAGGGCCCCGAGCCCCGAACCCCAAGCCCCGCCTTTTTACAGGCCATAACTTGAAGGCTTCTAAAAAGTAAATGTTTTGCCTAACTTTAAATTTTGTGATTGGTAATTTTCCAACAAACGCATAAAATTGAATATTTTACAAAACAAGTTAAAAAAAAGAAAAACCCGGAAAATCATGTCATTTCAGCAAAATTTGCAAATCACTGGTATCGAATTAGAAATAAACCACGTTTGAATTTTATTGGGGGGGGGGCAACTGCCCCCCCCCCCCCACAGCAGTATGCTAGTGTTCAGGGGCTCATGTCTTCTCACCCCTATAATAAAAAAACACACGCTTTCTAATCCTCTCACAATATTTCCACGATATGCGCGTATCGACATTATATAATCCTTCATAATAATAATAATAATAATAATAGTAGTATGTCTTGTTTACCCAGGGTAGCCTCATCATTGATAAATATAGGGGAATGCGGAATGTTTAGGAAATTTAAATCCGTTTTACTCTTCTTTTCTTTGAATGGAATAAAACTTTTATGTGATTCCATTCATGTTTATTATTTTTGTCTTCTTTTTGGTTAAAAAAAATACAAACCATTTTTACTTGTTTACTGCTGATTTTTTTTTTTTTTTTTTTTTTTTTTTTTTGGGGGGGGGGGGGGGGGCGGGAGAGAAAATGCGTTCTGCCCCTCGCTTTCGGTGCCTATGATAGAAGTAGTACAGTAGTGTAGTGGTGTAAAGATGCAAAGCTGTTGCAGGTTATAGTAGTGGGATGGTACCTAACGAGTAGGAAAGAAGTGTAGCGGTCCTAGTATTGCAGTTAGTACAGTTCAGAGAGAGAGAGAGAGAGAGAGGGAGAGGAGGAGGGGCGGGGAATAAGAGAAGTTCATATGATAAAAGATGTTTTAAATGAAAAATTGTTGCAGGTCTCATTGGACTGTAACATAAAGAAAATGAAGTAACACGCAATCAATTTCTCTTCTATCAAACATTAATTAAAAAGGGATGAATATTCTTATTCCATTGTGAGCGCATGTGACCGCAAATCAGTAGAGCAAATATGGGCATTATTAGTTTGTTTATGTTTAGGATAAAATAATGTAATGACATGTGTATTATCTAGTATAGACAAATTATCTTTCTTAATTGTTTGAACTAAAACAAAGCCCAAAGACACACAAATTGCTGAATGCAGTGCTTTGATTAAGGTTAAATAGGAAAATATAAAATAGTACTCAACGAGTCCTGTCAATCGACAATAATTGGTTATTACTCTTGATTCAAGGTGCATTCAAATATTTTATAATCTTGGTTTGAGTTGATGAATATTTTTTTTCTCGAGCGTCTACCTCTAGCTATGCGTTATACGTACGAGTCAGCCCGGCTTCACCCAGTAATATATGAATATTCACAAACCCAATATTAAACAAGTGCTCTGATTGGCTAAGTTTTGGTAAGTTGAACCGGAAATATATTGGCCGGGTCATGTCATGGATTACCAGTTCGAATGCAGGAACGTAACATTTTAATGGTTCTGAAATAAAATTGGATAACTCGTACAAAGTTAGTCCGTAAATTTCGCATATGGAAATAGGTAATACAAACTTTGATGACTGTACAAAGGAGAAAATGTACATTTTTTTTTTCTATCTGATTTATACATCAGAAAATTTGATCTAAATATAGAAAATCGGGGGAGAAACTTTTTGTAGCAAAAGTGGTACAAAATCGGCTCAATCCCCCCCCCCCCCCCCCCCCCCCCCCCCCCCCCCCCGTTGTGCGAGCCTACGGGTTACCGTCTGTGTATAGGGAATGTTGGCAAATGTCAGTTTTTTTTATTAAAGAATGATCCATACCAGACGGTTATTTATGTCTAGGTTAGGATTAGAGTTAATAGGCCTGGGAACTTTTGGAAGTGCTTAAATACTTTGTAAGTTGTCTAATGCATGTAGTCCAGGTCATATGGGAGCTATGCAGAGAACTTTCAACCAGATCGGACATGCAGTATACTAATTTTCCCAAAAAATTGATTTTTATCAAAAATCATATTTTGGAACTTGGCTAAACATTATCCGATCGGGCGCAAATATTTTCACTCTAATTTTGTTTGATCTCAAGAACAACATACTAATAAAGCACCCCGATCTGCCTTTTGGTTCTTGAGAAATATTGTAGAAAATCTGTATTCCGTTGGTATCACGTAAGCACAGTTTACTCTGTATGGTAAACCAAATGAAGAGTTATGAAATGTAACGCATATTTTGTAAATCATTTTGTTTTCTGACCAATAAAACTTATCAAGATTAAAAAAAAAAAAAAGAGTTATGGAATAGGTACATACTTTTGCAGATTATTTGATAAATACAGATTTCATTTAAAAATATAACTCATTCGGCATAGAAAATGAAAAACCAGTCCGTCTTTGGAGGGGGGGGGGGGGTGCAAAAGTGACATCTTGCATGTTACAGGTATCCCGTAATATTGGTTGGTTTTAATAGTTCACTACCACTACTATATATTTGCTATTTCAACTCACATAGCGATATCAGTATACTTGTATATAACAGAGGCCTAGAGTGAAAATAGAATTACATCCATGCCCAAGCTCCCTACTTACTAAAATTTATCTACTGAATATTTACAATCCTTCGGACTTCTAATTACCGGCAAAGAAAATCAAAGTGTGACAAAAGTTTATTGCTTTTTTTATACTATAGTTTTGCTACGAAATGACATTTTGTAATACAACAAAACTTCAACAACCTGTGAGGGGGTAGTCCCTTTTATCACCTTCGCCCCTCTTGTTCACTTTGTTCCCTCGTCCCTCGCATTTCGTCCTCCCCCCCCCCCCCCGGTCATGACAAGAAATCGCCGCCCCTGCCTGATGGCCAGGGCCCCTGAGAAGCAAGACTGCTTGATATCGGGACCCCACAAGTACATTATAATAGAAATATGAATTGTAACAATATGGATTATTCTTGATAGTGAAGTCTATATATTAGAGTAATGTACCGTCCCCTCCACTATTAAAGCCGTATTAAAGCTGGGTGGCAAAGACAGTGTTCTACTGACTCATATACCAGCTCCGCGAGGATCGCGACATCTGCCTTGGGTGGTCTTACCCCCGAGTTGCTTCCTCAATTGATGGGGTCGGGCTCAGGTGAGAGTCGAGGAAGCCCTTTGTGAGGATTTTTGAGGGCCAGCTAACGAAAGACCACCCGCAACACAATTAGTGAACACTAATTTTTTTGTTTTGCTCCCGAAAATTTGAAAATCGCCCCCCCCCTTGAGCGCCAGGGGGGGGGGGGGCATCTCCCCAAAAAGGTAAAATTAACGTATTTTTACATGTTTTAATTTCCAAGGAGTCCAAAGAGACGAGAGAAAAAATAAAAAACACCCCTTTTTAAAGAAATCTCTGGGTGAAAAGTCAAATACACCTCCTTTTTTTAGAATTCTCGGGCCGGATTTTGTCGCACGAAAAGTACCCCTTTACCGGACATTTTGGTGACACGCATGGCATCTCTCCGTTCTCGGAGTTGGGAGGGGGCGGGAAATACACACGTAGCCTTTAAAAATCAATTAAATAAAGACCTCTTGAAGCTGATCTAAAATGCACCAGCTCTGGACAATAGTGCTGATTTCTAGCGATGTCCGGATTCCATTCAGAAGATTTGTGAAACACACCCAGGAGTTATCTTATTTGTTTTCCTTTTAATTTACAAGACACCATAGTTTGTTTCACATCTACCATAGAGCGTTTAATTCTGAGTAGTGAGTTGGTAGCTCTATGACGTTCGCAGGTGCCATGTTTCTTTCATTTGGGAAGGACGAAAGTCTCACTAGAAGTCAAAGTTGTTTTAAGGTTGCCAGGAAATTCACAATAGAAGTAAGTTTAACCGGGGACATAATACAGAAGGACTGATGGGTTAGGGTTAGGGTTAGGGTTAGAGGTTAGGGTTAGGGTTAGGGTTAGGGTTAGGGTTAGGGTTAGGGTTAGGGTTAGAGGTTAGGGTTAGGGTTAGGGTTAGGGTTAGGGTTAGGGTTAGGGTTAGGGTTAGGGTTA